TTTTCTAATTTTAAGCAAATAGGTCAAAGTTATCTTGAATATTTAGAAAAGAACATCAGAAATGGGGATATATGATGTACATTTTCAGATATTACTAAAAACGTGTGAATTTTACGTTAAAGTTGGCTCAATTTTTTTCCCGGATTTTCAGAATATATTTACTATATTTGTCACACTTTGTTGATAGAATTTATAAGAAATAATTTAATAGATATTTCAGACCCAGCATAACATATTTCACTGCAAAAAACAGCTTTGTGTGCAACCAGCATGGAAAAATAGGCATCCAAAATTAACAGTACTGTTATAGTTCAAATGGAAAAAACTGATCATTTTCGTCTAAAAAACCTTCCGCCACAAAATATAGTCCCTAGCTTAATTCTACTTGAATGGAATTTAATCGCGGTTTTTTTCATTGAATATAGTTTAATTTGCATTGTAGAATTCAGTTTTATTGTTGGAACCTAAAAATGATGCTTAATTTTATGAATAAAGGACCTGCGCGAAATACGCTCAAAATATCAGGATCGAACGTCCTTAAATTGCTCTTAACAGAAATAATTAACAATGGAATACGTGATAATGATAAATTACTGTGTTCCTATCATATGAAGACAGCAGTTTTCTGGGTGATTCAACAGAATACATTACAACACTGGTGTCCACAAACTCTCCTGGAGTGTTTCTGGGTCTGTTTTAAACTCATCCTTAAGTGGGTGTACGAGGGGGTATGTCCAAACTTTTTCATTCCCCAAAATAACATGTTTCTGAGTAAAGTCCATGGTGAAGCACAACATCAGCTATTTAGAAGACTGTATGGGTTGTATGAGAAAGGTTTAGCATTCCTGCTACACAGTCCCTCCATTAGGTCTTGTATTATAAATATCCTCCATAACCCCCACCTCTCCATCTGTACAGACGAACATACTCTGAATTCTGAGGCAAAGTTGGATAGAGAGCTCTTTCAAGAGATTTACGCGTATGACTCACTTCACATACCAAACCTAAAAATCTGTATGAGGTCTCTACATATAATAGAACAGATGAAAGGCTTACCTCTCCTTAAACAGTATCAAGTTGTGCTGCTACAGAAACTTACAGCGGCAGTGCTTCAGAAAGCAGCTTTTATGTTACACATGGAAACTTACACACATAAAAACAAACTGAGGTATAGGGCTGACAAAATCTCCTGTCACATGCTGAAATTAGCAGCCAAGTTTGGTTGTATTACTGATATGCTATACATAGCCATGTATTCTTATAAGACACTTAGATACAAGGAAGCTTTATCTATTATAGAGATGAGCAAGGTCAATTTAGCACAGCCATATGTAATATATATTGGTAATGTAGATTCAGAGATGTATACTGAGGCGGTAGGGGGACAGTCCTGGTCTACAAAGATGAGACAGGCTGTAGCTTGCAATATCCTGCTTGAAAATAAAATTCATTACATCAATGAGTTATTACCAGAACAAATGTCTAGTTTACAGAACAAGGTGCCAGTATTATGTATCCCACCATTTGTACTGTTATCCATGCTAGAGATCTTGTGCTACAGACATGTAGACACAATGAGAGCACAAACAGCTCTAGATGATCTACAGACCCTAGTTCACTATGATCAGGGACAGTTTATACCTTTACTCTCCAGAGACATATCGTGGCAGATTCTGGGGATCTGTCAACAGGTGACAGGGAACCTCCAGGCTGCTCTATACTCATACCAACAATCACTTAGACAAAAACCAGTCCATGAAATACACACAGCTACAGAAATTAGAATACAGGGAACTTGTCACTAAGATGTCTAGATTAGTTAAAGAAATGAAATATTTGTAGAATCCTATCTGGTAGAACTTATAATGTGAATATTTCTTCTCTTCAATATTTTCTGAATTGTTTAATTTATTTAAAGCTCACATATTATTTAGAAATAAAGAAGGATATGGAAATAACGAACAGTATTCAATCTCAACGTCCATTAAACAAATATACAAAATAAGAGCAGAGCAAACACGGACCTCCGAAACATCAGAGGTGGGATCAGGTGCCATGGAGGAGTGAGCATCCCCTGCCGACCGGTCACACCCGCCGTGTGCTCGTTGTCATAATCAGGAAATAACGGAAAAAATCCGTGGTCAATTCAGTGTATAAATAATGGACTAACAATTGGTATGAAAACGTCAGTCAGCATTTCATTCAATGATAAATTGTATTTGCTGACAAGGTCATTGTATCGACCATAGAATTTACGAAATGATGACTTTAAACGAGACTGTTGATATTCTTGTTTCATCAACTTGCTTGTCAATAATTTACCTCGTTTAAGAAATTGTTCATACGTAGAGCATGAAGTTTAGCAAACCCTTGTGTGTGCATGTATATAGAAGACAAAATACACTTCCAGAGATCTGAGTATCACATTGTCATTTTTTGTTCATATGTGTTTAAATGTGAACTCTAATGCAACTGTTTTTGTAAAACACATTTTGATTTGCTAATGCACTGGTGTTTTAGGCATTAAGAAGAGGGAAACTTTTCATAGATCAATGTTATAACATTACACTCAATGATGTTCTAGTATTTAATTTACAAAAATTCAACTTTGTATTTACTAATGTGAATTCTGATTAAACAGTCACAAACATCCATTTTACTGGCTCCACCTACACGCCGCTGGTAAAACTTACAACATACATAATCTGTTGGTAATTTTTGAAGAATCAGCTTTCATTAAAATTAAGCCTCAGATGTCTTTAGATAAACAAACTAATTCAGTCAGAGAATTTGTGTCCCACTGAAGGAAAAAAAACATGCATTAATCAGGGGAGGGGGACAAAGGGGCACTTTACGAAAGGCAGAAGGAATCAAAGTGAGTTATGATATCAACTTTAATTGCAATAACACTTTAGCTTCTTGAGTTATTGTCCAGAAATAAAAGTAATACTCACATTCAGAATGTATGAGTTTATGACCTTGACCTTTGACTTCCTGACCTCAAAATCAATATGGATCTTTTTTATGTCATAGGGAGTGTGGTATAAAATGTCATTGCAAAAGCTAAAAGGCTTCTCCAGATGTCACATGGAAACTAAAGTGTTAACCATTTGACCTCAAAACCGATAGGCATTTCCGGTTTGTTCCCGTTTTACACACATTTGAATTACATGTATTTAAAAAATATAATTTGTTATATCTTTAATTCATTAAGAATTTTATCAAGATTGAAAAGTACGTATTCTTTCTTTAAGAAATCGGACTTCATAATAAATAATATTAAACAAATATTAATAATTTATTCAATAAAATCAAATATTTTCCCATAAATACATACAGACTTTTAATAAAATGCTTATAAAATTGTATTAAACCTCTTAAGAATACATTAAGCAAAATCAGGTATTCATGGGCAAATCCAGGTAAATCAAAACCAGAAATCAGACTATAATTGCTATCAAAACACACTTCACACTTATTGTTAAGGTCTTCCGTCTTCAGCGGAAGACCTTCTTGTTATTCTTCGGTTTCTTTTTCACTTTTTTTCTTCTATATTATTATTCTTTTTTTTTCTTACCGATTTTGTGCATGCGATTTCTCGAAAACGGCTCGATGGATTCTAATGAAACTTCAGGACTTATGTAACATTACTCGAACCTGATACATATTTTTTTGATTTGATAACGTCACTTCCGGTTCGGAGATATTGCCGATTTTATGATTTTTGAAGGGTCAGGCTGTCCGCAGACTTTCTAAAAAATGGTTCTAGATAGAATCATGAAACTTTCAGGCATGATAGTCCTAAGTCTGTAGATATGCGTAAGGTATTTCATTTTTATCGGAAGTGCCGCACGTCGGCGCTCGCTATGACCCGAAAAATGACATATTGCGAATTTCATAATTTTAACACCTTCTCTACGATATCTTTTTACCTGGAAATAATTTGATTAAACATGTAGAACAAAAGAAGTGTAGAATTCCAAGATCTTTCAAATGATATCTCGAAAAAAAGGGCTGGTCCCTAAAATTAAGGGCCTAGAGGGGCCGAAAGTTTTTTCTTTATATCTCAAAACGTATTGAGAATTAGTAATACGTCAAAGAAGCAAAGTTGTTCAAAATGTCAATCTTTATCTAAAAGGATCGTCAAAATACGTCCGGCATCGTCAATTCCGGCCAAACCGGAAGTAGTTCGAAAACACGTATTTTTGTAGTTCTAGACAAGTGTTTGGATAATATATGTCTCTGGTAGAATAAAAAATTAATATTCCGTCCGTCGTCGTCACTTCCGGTCAAACCGGAAGTAGCCAAAAATAGCTTATTTTGAAGGTTTGGATGCAAAATTGAAACTATAAAGTCACTGGAGACAACTTAGCTCATTGCTTTCTTGTGTTGATGTCACTTCCGCAACTTCTGGTCAAAACCGGACGGAAGACCTACTCGTTGCTTTGCAACGAGCTTTGCTCTAGTTATTCTTAGGTTTCTTTTTAAGGTCTTCCGTCTCCAACGGAAGACCTTCTTGTTATTCTTCGGTTTCTTTTTCCCTATTCTTACCGATTTTGTGCACGCGATTTCTCAAAAACTACAGGACCGATTCTCATGAAACTTTCACACCTGATAGGTACTGATCTGAACCTTATTGGAAATTTTTTTCGTTGACGACGTCACTTCCGGTCGTGAGATATGGACAATTTTCCGATTTTAAAATGCAATTTTGTCTTAACCAAGTAGCGAAAATTGCTTAAGATATGAACTTGAACTGATTGGAGATGATAGTTCATGACTTATAGCTTTGCAGAATCACCTTTCCGTGTGTCGTCAATACTTCCGGTCGCTACCGAAAGCGATATTCAAAAACGCAATTTTTCAACTTTTGTTTTTTAATATTTTTGTTGTAGAATTGAATAGAGACCTTTTTGCAGAAGCAAAATATGTAATTTGTTTGAAAATCGAAAAAGCCAATCTCGAGATATTTGCATTTAAAAACGCGAAGCGGCGATCCCAATGGCTAAATGGTTAGCGCATTGGATTGTCACGCGGGCGACCCGGGTTCCATCCCCCGTGTGACCAAAAAATTTTATCGTTTTTTCCGCTTCATTTTTTGATATTTTTTAATTTGAGACCATTTGGAACAATATACTATAATTTTTTAAGCATATCTTACGTAATTAGGGGTCACAAGGGGCCAGAATGTCAAATCTTTGACGCTTTATATCTCGAAAAGGGGGAATATTTTGATAAGCAATATTGAACAAAAGATGGTCAGAATAATGTTCTAAACAATATGCATACTTTGAATTTTTATAAAACGGCCCCATTAAGGACTTGTAGCAGTGGCCCCTAAATATTTTCATTTAGCATATCTCCACAACGAATAGAAATCTCTGAATAAATGTTGAACAAAAATCTTCAAAATCACAAGACCTTTCATTTGATATGAAGAAAATGGGGCTGACTCCTCAAAAAAGGGGCTCAGAGGGGCCAAAAGTCTTTTATCTATAACTCTCTAATGATCAATATTTTGTTATATATTACTGAAGCAAAAGTATTTATCTTGACGATTTGCAACAATATATGATACAATTTTGATCATATGTTACGTAATTAAGGGTCACAAGGGGCCAAAATGTCAAATTTTGGACGCTTTATATCTCGAAAAGGGGAAATAATTTGATAAGCAGTATTGAACAAAAGATGGTCAGAATAATGTTCTAGACATTATGCATACTTTGAATTTTTATAAAACGGCCCCATTAAGGAATTGAAGAGGGGCCCTTAAATACATCAATTTAGCATATCTCCACAAAGAATAGAAATCTCTGAATAAGTGTTGAACAAAAAAATTTTGAAAATCACAAGACCTTTCATTTGATATCAAGAAAATGGGACTGACCCCTCAAATAAGGGCTCAGAGGGGCCAAAACTCTTTAATCTATAACTCTCTAATGATCATTATTGTGTTATACATTACTGAAGCAAAAGTATTTATCTCAACGATTTGCAACAATATATATATTATAAAATTTTGATCATATATTACGTAATAAGTGGTTGCAAGGGGCCAAAATGATATATTTTTTATGCTTTATGTCTCGAAAAGAGGGAGTATTTTTATAAGCCAAATTGAACAAAAGATGTTCAGAATATCGTGATAAAAAACAGAAACTTTAAAATTAATGAAGGAAAACTAAGTCATTCTCTTTTAACGAATATCTCAGACAAAATAACATCTCATCTTATCGAGAAATTCAACGGAAGACCTACTCGTTGCTCGCAACGAGATCTCATCTAGTTAAGGTCTTCCGTCTCCAACGGAAGACCTTCTTGTTATTTTCGGTTTCTTTTTCCCTATTATTAAGGTCTTCCGTCTCCAACGGAAGACCTTCTTGTTATTCTTCGGTTTCTTTTTCCCTATTATTATTATTTTTCTTACCGATTTTGTGCACGCGATTTCTCGTAAACTACTGGGCCGATTCTCATGAAACTTTCACATCTGATAGGTACTGATCTGAACCTTATTGGAAATTTTTTTCGTTGACGTCGTCACTTCCGGTCGTGAGATATGGACAATTTCCTGATTTTAAAATGCAATTTTGTCTTGATTTAGTAGCAAAAACTGCTTAAGATATGAACTGAAGATTAATTGGAGATGATAGTTCATGACTTATAGCGTTGCAGAATCGCCTTGCCGTGCGTCGTCAGTACTTCCGGTCGATACCGGAAGCGAATTTATAAATCGCAATTTTTCAACTTTTCTTTTTTAATATTTTTGTTGTAGAATTGAATAGAGACCCTTTTGCAGAAGCGA